CACGTAGCGAAATATATCGCTGCCCGCATCAGAAAGCCACTGGATAAGGTGGCGCGAAACAAGCTGCGGGCAGAGTGCCCGCGCCCCACAGGGGGTGCACCGCTGGACCTGGAAGCCCTAAGGGGTGGATCCAGCCTGCCGTGTGTCTCCTGGGCAACGCGAATACGGCGGTGGCCACGGAAAGACGCAAGGCGATTTTAATTAAAATTGAGCCTAAGCTAGTAAACCTAGCTATCTCAGAACCAGGTCCCCAGGCTAAAGCCCTCCTATTCGGGGATAACTTTGTGAAGGAACTAGGCACATATGTGGGCACCTTTACGGCACTTGATAAGGCTCAAGCCAGCATGAAACGAGTGTTCCATCAGAGGGTTTTTGGCGGGGCCGGCAGGTATCGGGGCCGTCTGCCTGGCCGCTCGCCCCAGGGCTCTCATGGCTCCGTGCAATCTAGATTCACACCCCCGGAACCCAAACAAGCCTCACCATTCTTCCCGGTTTGAGGCAGACCGTGGCAAACCTGAGGACCCAGAGGCTCTTTATATGGCCGACGACCTTATGGTAAGTGCACTACCTCGTCATATGTCTGCATTAACTATGGTGGGGGGCAGACTGGGCCATTTTGTCAACGCATGGCACATGATCACTGCGGATGCCTGGGTGCTACATGGTCCGGGGTTATTCTATAGACTTTGTGCAATACCAGGTCCAACTGAAACCCCCCGGCCGAATGGTGTTCCCCACTCGGGACCGAGAGTTGATAACCCAAGAGGTCCAGGCCTTAGCCTCCAAGGGGGCAATTTATACTGTTCCCCCTGTCACACCGGGTTTCCTAAGCAACCTATTCTTAGTACCCAAAAAAGGTGGAGGTGTTCGCCCAGTCATCAACTTGAGACCTTTAAATATGTTTGTCACGTACCACCACTTCAAGATGGAAGTTATACACTCCCTCCGGGATCTCCTCCTCACAGGGGACTGGATGGTCAAACTCGATTTGAAGGACGCATACCTCACGGTCCCAATGGCCGACGACTGCCACCACTTCCTGCAATTCCGCTGGGAAGAGACCATGTGGCGATTCCAATGCCTACTGTTCGGTCTCTCATCGGCCCCCTGGTGCTTCACAAAGCTTGTGAAACCAGTGGTCGCCCACCTATGCAGCAGGGGCGTACGGCTCATAGTATACCTGGACGATATCCTCATCATGGCTCAGGACCCGCTTCTGTTGCAAGAACATTTCTCTTGGACGAGAAATCTGTTAGAAAATCTGGGCTTTCTGATCAACTGGGAGAAGTCGGTTATCGAACCCTCGCAAGCTATAGAGTTCCTGGGATTCACCATAGACGCGGTGACCGGAACGCTCCTACTCCCAATGACCAAGGTCAAGGCCATCAAAAAGGAGCTCAAGCGGACGCTCACACATCCTGTCCTTACTTTGAGGCAGCTGGCCAGGATTGTAGGCCTCCTCTCGGCGTCAATTCAGGCCATTTTTCCCGGACCCCTACATTACAGAGCACTTCAACGGTTAAAGGAAAAATACCTTCGTTTGGGGCACTCATACTCAGACTCTGTTCCTCTCGACTGTGCCACCAAAGACGAAATCAAATGGTGGCTACAACACATGGAAGCCTGGAATGGCCGCGCGATCTTCGGAACAGCGCCGGATCTCGTAGTGGAATCTGATGCAAGTTTGCTCGGCTGGGGTGCGCGCTGCGGACCTTTCTCCACCGGAGGAAGATGGTCCAGGGAGGAACAGGGACTTCATATCAATTGCCTCGAACTGTTGGCAGGTTCGTTTGCTTTACGGAGTCTTTTGAACGTGTCGACCAACTGTTCCATCCTGTTACGCATGGACAACGTTTCAGCAGTTCGATATATCAACCACCTGGGGGGCACGAGGTCAGCAATACTTGCGGAATTAGCAAAGGATTTCTGGCAGTTCTGCCTGGACCGCAACATATCAGTGCAAGCGGAACACATCCCGGGGATGAGCAATGTAGTAGCAGATTGGAACTCCAGACATCTACGGGATGCCAGCGACTGGCGGCTGAACCCGGCCATCTTCAGCCATTTGCAATCACTGTGGGGGCCGCTGGACATCGACCTGTTCGCGTCATGACTAAACACGCAATTACCGAGGTTTTTCAGTTGGAGGCCGGATCCGGAGGCTCTAGCGACGGACGCTTTCTGACAACAGTGGCCGAACACCAGACATTACGCTTTTCCCCCCTTTTCTCTCATCGCACGGACCTTGCTGCACCTCAGACGACACCGGACATCTCTAATCCTCGTATCTC